CCCTCCCCCCTCCCGCCACCTTTCCACACACACGCCCCCATTCCGGCGCGTGCGCACTTGTAGAAAAAAAAAGCGGAGCTTGGGGGTGAGAGAAACAAGTCGTTGGGCGGCGGGAGGCGCCTGCGCAATGGCGGGAGGGCGGTCTCTCGGGGAGCGCCGCTCCCCGCCCTCCCCGCGAGGGCCATTTAAAAGGCCGCGCCGGGGGCCCGCCTGCCCCTGTCTTCGTGCCATTGGGCCGCGCGCGGGCACCGGCCTTGCCTTCCTTCCTCCCTCCCGCCGCCTCCTCCTCCTTCTTCTCCCCCCGCCCTGCCCTGCCGCGTCGACGCCCTTCAGCGTCTCCCTCCCTCCGGAGCGCCCACGGAGCGGAGCTTCTCCGCGTCCCGCCGCCGCTGAGGAGAAAACCGTAACCGCCCGCCCGACCGACCACCATGTACCGTTGTCTGGGGGAGCTCCTGGCGCCCGCCCGCGCCGCCGGCTCGGCCGCGACCCTCTCAAGCGGGGAGCCCTGCGCGGCGGCGGCGGCGGCCCTGCTGTCGGGGGACGGGCCCGGGCGGAGGCCCGGCGGGAGCCGTCGCCGCTACAGCCAGGCGGCCGAGCCGGAGGACGACCCCAACTTCTTCAAGATGGTGGAGGGCTTCTTCGACCGCGGGGCCGGCATCGTGGAGGACAAGCTGGTGGAGGGGCTGCGCACCCGCGAGAGCGCCGAGGAGAAGCGGCACCGCGTCCGCGGCATCCTCCGCATCATCAAGCCCTGCAACCACGTGCTCAGCGTCTCCTTCCCCATCAAGCGCGACAACGGCGAGTGGGAGGTCATCGACGGCTACCGCGCCCAGCACAGCCAGCACCGCACCCCCTGCAAGGGAGGTGAGGGTCCCGCCTTCCTTCCCCCTCTCCCCGTCCCCTCCGCAGCAGCATCCCCCCCTGCTTGGCCTTCCACGCTTCCGCACACACACAGCAACGAATAATGCGCTTTCGACCCACTTTGCAGCTGTGCTTCACTGTCTGGAATGGCAAAATCCGCTTGCAAAGGGTCGCTGGGGCGGATTGAAACTGTATTCTTAAGGTAAAGGTCTCCCTTGCTCGAAAGCCAGTCGAGTCCGACTCTAGGGTTGCGGTGCTCATCTCCGTTTCCAAGCCGAAGAGCCAGCGCTGTCCGAAGACGTTTCCGTGGTCATGTGGCCGGCATGACTAAACACCGAGGTGCACGGAATGCTGTGACCTTCCCACCGAAGGGGTACCTATTTATCTACTTGCCATTTCTTGCTTTTGACCTGCTAGGTTGGCAGGAGCTGGGACTAGAGACGGGAGCTCACTCCGTCATGCGGCAACCCGGGTCTCAAACTGCTGAACTACCGACCTTCCACAGCCTGCAGTTCAGCGTCTTGCGGAATGGCAAAATCCGCTTGCAAAGGGTCGCTGGGGCGGATTGGAACTGCATTCTTTAGCAGGTGTGAAAAGGGCCCGGGATTTGTGGCAGGGCGGGAGCTTTAGCATGCGTGGATCGGAAGGAATCTGGAAAATTCTGAAGAAGTGAGCGGTGACTCGCAGCAGCTCATACCCTGCTTCAAAATCTGTTCACTCTTTACGGTGCCGACTGGACTCTTGGTCTTTTCCGCTGCTGCGGGCAGACTAACACGGGGTGCCCGTCAATGTTCCCTCTAAGCTGAGGAGTCTTGTGAGCAAAAATTCTACTTTGTGAGCTACTGGCATTAAAGTTGTGAGTGAGCGATGTGGCTGCTGCATCAATTAGTTTGCTCTGGAGCCCTCCTTCCTGAGCCAAGGCAAAAATGTGTGAGCCGGAGGCTAAAAAAACTGTGAGTTAGCTCACACTAACTCAGCTTAGAGGGAACACTGGTGCCCGTCTTGATCGGCGCCTTTACCTGGTTTCCTTTGGCTAAAGTCATTGTTGGCACCCTGTCTTGTCAAATAGTAGTGCAGGGGTAGGGCTGCCAGCCTCCAGGTGGGGCCTGGAGATCTCCCACTTTTACGACTGTTCTCCAGCTGACAGAGATCACCTCCCCTGGAGAAAATGGCTGCTTTGAAGGGTGGACTCAGTGGCATCGTGCCATGCTGAGGCCCCTCCCCAAACCCCGCCCTCTCCTGGGTCCGTCTCCAAAGTCTCCAGATATTATCCAACCCAGACCTGGCAACCCTATGCAGGGGGAAAACAACAACAACTAAGTATACTGCTAGGATAAATTGACCTGGATGGCCCAGGCTGGCCTGATATAAGAAGCTAAGCAGGGTTGGCCCTGGTTAGTACTTGGACGGGAGACCACCAAGGAACGCCAGGGTCGCTATGCAGAGGAAGGCAGTGGCGCACCATCTCTGGATGGCCCAGCCGAGCTTGGGCCTGTCAGATCTTGGGAGCTAAGCAGGGTTGACCCCTGGTTAGTCCTTGGGTGGGAGACCACCAAGGAACATGAGTGTTGACTGTTCCCTGGAAGGCCAGATAATGAAACTGAAGTTCAAATACTTTGGCCACCCAATGAGAAGGGAGCACTCACTGGAGAAGAAGACCCTGATGCTGGGAAAGACTGAAGGTCAAAGAAGATGGGGACGGCAAAGGATGAGATGGTTAGACAGTGTCATCGATGCAATGAGCATGAAGTTGAGCCAACTTCAGAGGACGGCGGAAGACAGGAAGGCCTGGCGTGATCTGGTCAATGGGGTCACGAAGAGTCGGACTCGACTGTGCGACTGAACAACAACAACAAAAATAAGGAAAAATTTCACATGCTGAATTTCTTTAACAGAAAACTGCTACCCAGGAGAACTACTCGTAGCACTATTTGCAAGTGATGCTAATGTGTACTGTACACAAAAACTATTTGCATACAGAGCTGCCAACTTGGGCAGTGCCTTATGCTACACATGGTCCTGTGCCATAGAGGTACTGTGTGAGAGTAGGTATTGCACCCACTGCCATTGTCAGTGTTCCCTCTAAGCTGAGTTAGTGTGAGCGAGCGCAGTTTTCTAGCCTCTGGCTCACCCATTTTTGCCTTAGCTCCAGGAAAGGATGACTCCACAGAAAACTAATAACAGAAAACACAAGAATGGAATATGTTTTCTCCAGTGTATACTCGCTTCAGTGGTCTGCAGATTTTACAGTGACACAGTCTGTCACTTCTTGACTCATAAAATGCTGTGAATATGCACAACACTTTCAGTGCTGTGTAGTTGATATACGTCGACTTTTTCAGTTAACTTCGGTACGCATAACTAGACTTGTTAGTGCTTTCAGGTGGCTGTTAATTGCATACTGAAAAGTTTTCCCAAAGTGGAGTGTAGCAATATGGTAAGCTGCTCTGAAGGAATGTCACAGCATTCACAGGACCTGCATACTGAGTTGTGTTCAAGTTGACCAGCTTTGGCTTCACGTGTAAAAACAGCTATGAAGAGCAGCCAAAAGAGACTGCATTTACAGAAGCAGTGTTCAGTAGTGCTAAGTAATCAATCAGTCAATTGTAGAAGTGTGTGTTGATGCTTGATGACCGGATGTGTTTCTTCCTCACAATCAGAAGCAGCATTTCTAGCTACTGCGGGGGAAGCAAGCATGTTCCATAACCTTTTAGGGATTCAGCATTAGGTGCCTCAGTGCTTTATGTCTCACATTTGAGCACATTAAACATGCAGAAGAGCAGAGCTTTGTAAGTCAGTCAGTGCCTTGCTTCTGTTTGCATGTTAACTCAAAAATAAGTTCTGCTTGTTTCAGTGAGCTTATTCCCAGGAAAACATGCATACAGTTGCGATCTGGTAGTTCCCTACATGAAAGCTATACTGCATTTCCATACAGTTTCCTGTAAAGGCATTCAGATCTGTGCCCCTACACAGGTCTTAGAAAAGTGAGAATTCACACAATGCGAGGTAGGGTTATACCTGCCTTCGTGTCCCCCCCCCCCCAAGGTACTTCAAGAAGGATGCAAAAGAGAAATGTGCAGTCACTGTGCAACTCATATCTTGCAGTTGGCAGCTCATCCTTGCTTAAGAACAATCCCTGCAAAAGCAGTAGGAAGTTTAAAAACGTCCCTTTCAAGGTGTTGCTTGTTCCTGTACAGCTGCAAAATGTGTTGGTCTCAGCAGTCACCCAGTACAAGCCGTTCTCACCTCTGAATGAAAGAGCAGTTCCCACCTTTCTCTTATCCCATCCCCAAGTTTTCTGCAACAGTTGTAAAATATTCAGCTGCGGCCCACACTGAAGTATTTCCTGTTTGAATTGTGCTGCAGCAAAAAGCCTTTTGTGGAGTTTTGAAAAGTTTGACTCATATCAGTGGTAAACAAACTGTTTCAAAAAATTTTAAGGAGGCAGCAATTGCTGAAGTCAGTTACTTGGTAAGTTTCTGTTCCTTCAAGCCACTTTTTTTTTTCTTTCTTTGCTATTTCTTTGCCTCCAAATGCTGGATCAGTCTCTGATAGAAGGAGAAACGCTGCTTGGTACCCCAAGGTTATGCTCTAAAGCTAGGAGTGCAAAATGGTGTGAAATATATATTTTTTCTGACAGTGGTGCTGACCAAAATGATTGTTCAGTGAAGCTAACACATTGAAGTGAGATACCGAGGCATTTATATGTTAGCAAAACCACCCTTGATGAGCTTTTTTAAAAAATCAGTTGACTTGATTGTCTGAAGGGTGGTGTCTAAAATAGCAAAGTTCTTTTGGAGTGGGGACTGCTGCTCTCTGCCTGCAAGTTTTCACTGTGTAAACAGAACTGTTTCTATGTCTTGCTGCTGGCACTCTCCCTGACACAGCAGTTTTCGTAGCATTAGAACACTGATAAAAAGTTAATGTATCGCATCTCTTGGAACTACCAGTACAGCCCTTTGTCATATTGTCAGTTGGCTGAAGTAGCCCTAGCAGCTGAGGAGCTAACTTTGCCCACCTAAGCCAGAGTTGCATTGTACAAAATGGTTTACAAACTTGAATAAATGGTCAGGGGCTGTGGTCTGTACTGCTGTGTGTATAGCTTACTGTAAGATGGAACCTGTTAGGTAATTTTTACACTACTTAACATGTCTTGATAATAACGTACGCTGTGTTTTAGTTCTATCTTTTAGATTTCTGGATGTTTCTAGACTTCTACAGTCCTCGTGCATTGTTTATTGAGTGTCCCATTTAGTTGGTTGTACTGACTCACCATGTGTAATTCTCCTTGAGTTCTGTGAGAAAGGGGGACTATGAAAAATGTAAACAAACGTTATAGGGCTGAGATTAATTGGCTTAGAAGGTTCTAAGTTTAGGGTGGCACTATAAAAATCACTTTAAAGCCATGTGGTCTTGTGTAAAAAGACTTGAATTTGGGTTCTGATAGCTTAATACCTGTTCCCCAAAATGACACCAGAATCGCACCATCATAGAATCACAGAGTTGGAAGGGGCCATACAGAGCATCTAGTCCAACCCCCTGCCCAATGCAGGACCAGCCTAAAGCATCTCTGGCAAATATTCATCCAGCCTCTTCTTAAAAGCTGCCACCATCCCTACATCTATCACCGTTTTCTTTTATGACTATATATATATATATAGTTTTCTGCCTCAAAAGTTGTTAGAGCATTTTTGATTGTGGTATAGGCCAACCAGAGTTCTCTGCACACACCAATGAATGGCAGGAGTGGCAACATAACTATGAAAGAATTGACATTGTGTTCTTTGTATGGATTTCCCTTTGTAGTCATTTCTGGTGATTTTATCTTTTTCAGATAGAACGAGTGAGTTGGTTCCATTTACCTAGGGAGTATCAGTATCATAGCCAGTGCTTTTTGTGTGTGGGAAAAAAGCACCAGTACTCATACATGAGGTTGCACTGATTTCCACCAATCCCCCCCCTCTGCAGATCCTCACTAGGGTGTTCCTGGGGGTCCCCCTCCC